CGGTAACCTTAAATACTCACTGACTCCCACTGTGGACCCCATAGCAGAATGTGTGTGAATCAGTCAGTGTGTGTGTGTGTGTGTGTGTGTGTGTGTGTGTGTGTGTGTGTTTCGTCTCTCTCTTTGTGACACCTACCCTGATTCTCCTGTCCCTGTTCCTGTAGATAACAACCCTTTCTCCACTTCCATGAGCCAAACTGGACTCACTCCCGATTGTAATACAATGTACCAGCTGCCATGTGGGTAAACACACTAGCAGGTAGCTAGCGGATGTGATGACAGAGTGAAAGAGTGTGTTTGCAGTCAGCAGAGGAAATGACAGCAGCAGTGACTGATTTTTGGTCCCAGAAGACCAAAGATAACACTGTGCTGGCAAATGCTAATCGACTTTGTGTGTTCAGAAGTGTACTATCTGCACGAAGGACGGCTGGAAAATTCAGCACGTCCCCTGCGAAGCATCCCTAATCCTTAGGGCTCATCACAGACTGTATATAAAATACTGCATCAAACATTCATATAGTAAGCTTTATGCCAACAAAATACTGCATAGTCAGTCATGTGAAAGCTCTGTGACAGCATTTTGCAACTTTTTGGAACTTTTTTATCTTTTGGTCCCACCCACGTGGTAAGAAATATAGATACAGTTACAAAGTAATGCACCAGGGATGTGCGGCTGCATGGATTTGGCTGATTTTAGATGATACTGGGTTGCACTGCAGAAAAAGTTGAGCCAGGTTCAACTTATTCAACTGTGTTGTTTGGCTGGAGCCCAGGGGTGCAGCATCAACAGAATAGCCATATCCAAACAAATGAAAAAGCTTTTCCACACAGGCCTTCTGTTGGTTGAGCAGTCTGTTCTTTTTCTTTTGAAGATTATTTAAGCAAGCATTAAGGGGGGGAAAGGGCTATTGGCGTCCTATCACTAATAAACATGCAGGCTTAGGGAACCAAGAATTAAAGACAAATGTTTGTCGGGGGTATTTTGCTGTTTTATGCTTCTTTTTTTCTTTTTCTGTTTTTACTGTATGATCTTGCTGGAGTTCAGTGAGCTTCATAATACTTAATGAAACTTTTTATGAGCCATGAAAAAAATAAAAACTACCACATTAGTCATCCTTATTTTGAATGAAAGTAAAAGACACAGAGATAGCTTTATATTTTATATACAGACAGATTTATGAACACTTGCAACTGGTCTGTGCAAATCAACAAGTTATTTTGCCTCTACCAGCCAATCCTTTTTCATGCTCTGTAACAAGAAGAGTGCTGTTAATGGACTTCAGTTCTCTCACCTTTATCTCCTTGCCTTTGCTCTCTGTTGCAGTCATTAGTGACATTTCTGTTCTCAACAGCTTTAAAATGGATTTAACTCAAAGATGCCTCAAAAGCCATTAGATTCTTATTTTGTCATCAGTGATAGCCAGGAAGTTATATTTTTAGGTTAAGTAGTGTTTCTTAGAGTGTCAGCTGAGCTTACATGTGAGGCTTTTCACTTGTTGAGACAAAACCATTTATACCATCTTTTTTGTTTAAAATTTGAATCATAAAACACATACTCTTCAAATTCAAACTGTAAAGGAAAAGAACCAGCAGCACTAAGTCCCCATAATGTGAAAGCAAATTCATTCTAAAATGAGCAACAACCTCCACATAAATCCAAACGTGATGTTAAAGCCAGGCTCATCTTGTTCTGAAGCAGCGGGGTGGACCAGAGAGCCAGTGAGCTGCCCAGAGGAGGCTGAAACTGTTAAAATGGCTAATTGGGTTTCATGTCATTAGCGCGTTTTGAGGTCATCAGATTAATTCCCCAGACTACCAAGAGACATTTGAGCAGGAAAAGAAATGAAGTGATACTCCACATTTACATCATTTACAATACAGTAGTAGCCATCTTACACCACTGCCCAGAAGTCAGTGTTATATCAAACAAAACCAGGGTAATCTGGAAAGCAGTCCTCTTGATGATTTTAATAAAATGACCATTTACTTTATGAGTAAGTCATCACAAGACGATAAACCTGATCAGACATTTGATGGAAGCTTTTGGGCTCTGACGCATCCAGAGATACTATAGACCAGCGGTCCCCAACCTTTTTTGTGCCACAGGCCGGTTTATGTCCGAAAATATTTTTACAGACCGACCTTTAAGGTGTCACGGATAAAAACAACAAAATAAAACCAGTACCGATACCAGAAAAAAAGAAGATATATTCATGACACACAGGGAAAGACCCAGTGAAACTGAGTTAACGATAAAAAAAATAACGATAACAACCGCTAAAAACTCTGAAAACCATAAATTTCACACCCGAGCCTCAACTCTCGCGGCCCGTTACCAAACGACTCACGGACCAGTACCGGTTTATGGCCCGGGGATTGGGGACCGATCCATTTCTTGTGTGGGGGGTTGTGCTTTTGCAGGTGTGAATATATCTTTCTGTGGACAGATTTAATCAATGCTTTGCCATCAATACGGTCACAAAACTTTAAAGTTGTACATTTGAAAAAAAACAAATTGAAAAAAAATTGAACAAGTGGTTGAGTTTGAAGATGGTAATGCTACAACCCATAAATAGTAAAAAGATCCTGCAAAGTGTGACAAGGAGGCCATTTTTATCTCAAATATAGGATAAATCAACAAGTATCTAAATTATACTCTCCCAAGTACTCAAGGAAAACAGTGGTCTGAAGATTCGCTGCTGTACTTTTTGTGACTAAAATGTATTTATATATAGATGTTTTTGTATGTTAATGATCCACATCAAACAGCTGACATTTTAAACCTCATTTCATATGTAAGGAAGTGCTAAATCTTCTCGTTTTAATAAGTATATGTTGATCCATGTCTTGTGGACGCTCAAATCTCACTTCCTTTAGTCAGTCTTCCTTAAAGATGATCTGCTCATCCTGCCCAGTGTTTAAACCCATGTGTGCTTTGCTGTGACAAGATTTTGGATGTTTTTTTTTATTTTTTCGTAATTGCCGTAACCAACATATTAGACTTTGAAATAAGAACAAAGTGGGTCGGCTTTTTCAAATGATGAATATTTAAAAACATCAGCCTTGCCCATATGAAATCCTTTAAAAAACCGACCATGTTTTATTAGTAAGTCAACACAACACGATAAACCTGATCAGACATTTGATGGAGGCTTTTGGGCTCTGACGCCATTTTATACTCAGCCCAGTAAAAACATATTGTTAGCAGCCCAGATATATGTCTGACCTTTGTGTGACTGCAACTCATTTTAGAGAATGGACTTCTTGTTTTATGTAGGAACCGATTTTCTTCAGGCCTCCTGCAAGGGGTTGAATGAATGCATGTCAAAGGGGCCAGTGGATGTATGTTGAATTTTAAATAGTGGAGAGTGCCACCGGGGCTTTAACGAGTAAGATAATTGGACAGGCACTTGCCATGACAAATTTCACTGACATACTGTGTGCAAACATTATTGTCATTAATCATTTCTCTGCATCTCTTTCTGGCCCCACGTGCACATGCATTCAGCCAACATGATCATCTGTCTATTTTTTTAATGACATAGCACTAAGCCTAAAGTACAAATATCCAGTAACATGTTGTTGCATGGTGGGTAGACTGTAGGAGTTTGCACATTGTGCAGCCGTTTTATACTTTGCTCATTATTGTGGCTGACTGACAATAAGTTTGTCATTCTAACACTCAGAAGAGATACTTGTCATCTTCTGAGTCAGCTAATGCATTGAGCAGCAAAAAAGAAACAATGGTTCTGTATTTCATAAGTTTGGACTTTTATATTAATTCAAGGAGAGTTTTTCCAAACTTCTCTTTCAGACAAAAAATGTAGCTCTACCTAAGGAGGCAGTGTTACGGTGACCCAGTGCAGTGCATTTTGTGAACTTGCGTCATTGCACTTCACAGCGGAGTACCTCCATGTCCCTGAACACTCTGAAAGGAGGAGAGCTTAACAGTATAAAAGGCAAAGGTTTGGAAGCCCTTCTTTAATATTCCTGTAAAGAAAAGCTTTCATTACGGACTCCTTTCCTCTTGTCTTCTCTCTTCTCTGTTCTCCTTCTTCTTTCCATGGCCAAGACAGCATCTCTCTGCATACTAAGCAGGGCCCCATACGGCCCAATTTGCACTGCCCAATTTACTGGTGTCGCTTCACATTTGTTGGGGGAGAAGCTGAGGCCATTTCCCTGATCCTCACAAAGAGGGAAGGGGCACGAGAGATGGTGAGGATGAGGGAAAACTGGAGGTGGCTCAACTGACAGATCAAGCCTGAACCACATCAACTATGACATTTAAACTTATACACGTTATATTCACAGACACACATGCACACATACACAGTCCAAAGCATAAAATGAGAAGCCAAACACACACCGCATTACAACTCACAGTTGCACAGCTAACCCCCAGAGAGATGAGGAGAGAATAGATGGGAAAGATGAAGGGAAAGAAGGAGGAAGGGTTTGGGGGGTGGGGATAAGAGGGAGGGACAGACACTGTGCTGACAGGGCTGTGACAGCGCTTAATTACCAAGCGAGCACTGCACACTGGAAGCAATTTCTAAGGATTGTTGTCATTTGAATAGATTAAAACGCCCTTTCACTGGACTAAGCTGTCTCACCAGCGACTTGGCTCTGCTGTAGATGAAAAGTCCGAGGCAAATCAAAGAGGAGAAGACACCAGCAGAGCCAGAAATGGAGGGAAGGAGGCAGAGAGGGGTGTCACAGAGGGCACTAACAGCAACACCATGTAGGGTTTTTTGTTTGTTTGTTTTTTGCTGCAGAACAGGAACATGTTGTGTGTGGATGCAAACATAAACACTAAATTAATGATGGTCTCCCTCTCTTAATGCCCAAATCGTCCTACCTCTTTCCCTTGCAGCACCATGTGGGTGTTTTAACAATTAAAAAAATCTCACTTGTCTTCCCTTGTGGATTTAAATTGACTAATAACTGTCTTTTTCAATTATCTTCCCCTTCTCTTTCACTACCCTCCTACATACCCGCAGACACCGAAGGCTGCGAGCACACTTGGAGGAAGTTTCATGGCCACTGCTACAGATATTTCACACGCAGACACACCTGGGAGGACGCTGAGAAAGACTGCAGGGAGCACAATGGCCACCTGGCCAGTATCCACAGTGTGGCTGAGCAGAACTTCATCAGAGGTGAGTAAGGAGAAACAGGACAATAGCAGATTTGGCACAGAGTGCAGCTCTTTCTGATGTTGTTACTCTGCAGAAAAACTAAAGTTAGGAAGACAAATTTGGACATTCAAGGGCCAGTAAGTCTTGCTGTTAGATGACAGCTCACTTGAGCATGCCCGAGGTTAGGTGGACATAAAATCTCCAAGTTGAAACCTCAGTTAATGAGACTCTAGCAACTTTGACACAGCCATTCTAGGAGCTAAATGCTCACAACAGCATAGTAACAGCAGCACCATGCTGATGCCACCTCCTTAGTGTTTCCGCCTCATGTTTACCGTGTTCATTGTCAGGAGCTGAGGCCTATGTGCAGTTCTGTTTGCAACATAGCCGTCCACTTAGTTTATGATTGTTTATGATACCCACATCCATTCATCCATCCATTTTCTGCCACAGTCTGGGTCACAGGGACAGAGATGCCAAGACCTACTTCTCCCTAGGCATCCCCTCCAAGGGGACAGTGAGGTGTTTCCAAGCCAGCCAAAACATATAATTTCTTCAGTTTATCCTCCATATGCCTCCTTATAGTAGAACATGCAGGAAGCATTTTAGCTAGGAAGCATCCAGGAGGTGCCCAGGAAGTACATCCTATTCAGAGGTCCAAACCAACTGAACTAATGCAGAGGAGCCGTAGCTCTCTGCTGATTTCCTTCCGAATAACCAAGCTCTTCATCGTATCTCTGAGGCTGAGCCCAGACACCCTTTGGCCAAAGCTCATTTCGACTGTTTGTATCTGCGATCTTGTTCTTTTGGTCACTAACCAGAGCTCACGGCCATAGAGGAAGGTAGGAATATAAATCGATAGCTCGCTTTCTGTCTTCACCACAATCAACAATTTCTGAGTCACTGCCACATCAGTCCGTCTGTCAGTCATCCACTCTACACCTTCCACATTTGTGAACAAGACACTGAGATACTTAAACTTGTCCACTTGTGGTAACATCAACATAATATGCTTCCATTTTTCAACTGAAGATTCTTATGTTTTAGTGTTGAGGACATCTGAAGATTTAGATAGGCATCCTCACGCTTTCTATTTCACGTCGCTATATTTCAGAAATATCTGGTGACACTTGTAATCACCAGTCACTTTTAAAGAAGACATTGCTCAGTTTAAATGATAGTACTGATTTAGTAATAATAGCCTAACCTGCTGTCACTTGGATGGCTGCCTTTGCCTCCTGCACAAAGCTTTTAGAGGCCAGTGAGTGGTATCTACTTTTGTACTTTATTATCATACTTGGAGATGATACCGGACCTTCCCTTTTATGTTTTCCCTAACTCAGTATTAAATATCTTTATAGTTCAGCTGTGGACGGACCTTAAAGGACTTGATTTTGCTGCCGTTTAAAACAGCCTTAAGGAGCAAAGTCCGAGCTAAATAAATCTATATCACCATTTGTTGCAGTGAGTTGACCCTGCAGGCCCTGATATAAGTGTCTGTACAGTAAGTGATATTGATTGTGCTATATTCTTTCTGCAAATGTTATTTTTTTCAACTTTTGTGATAGCTTCACCAAAGCAAATGAATCCATAACCTGAAACTTAATAGGAAAAAATTGATTTAATTACAATTATTAGGACTTCTGAGTTTTACGTATGTGAAACAAGCACATGCCTTGGAAAGGTTTATGACTACTTGAGTATGATCCATATCTTTTAACATAAGGATTTGCATTTTAGGTGGTAGAGGGCATTAAGTTACATGAATGGCATACAAAAAAGGTGTGTGACATCACCAAAATATCATCATACATCTCTTTTCATGGGCACTTATCTATTCAAGGTCATCTCCTCATGCACCTCCAGTTAGCTTCCTGCATAGCTGCTATTTTTAGAGCACTTAAACAAGGTCTATTCTGACTAATCGGGTATATAGATCTGAGTTTTTACCACAGACATCAACCTACTGGGACAGCAAACATAATCTTGTGTAATGGAGTGACTTTTGTGTCAAGGATCATCCCTGTTGATTAGCTCTGTATCTCAGTGTACAATCCAGAGGCCAAGCAACAGCTTTTTGGGTTAGAATCTTCAGCGTCCAAAATAGACATTCACAGTTTTGTCCACTGAAGACTGTCAAGGCTGAGGTCGTAATGGAGAATGTGTGTATTGAGGTTGAGCTTTTGTTACCTAGTGGCTACACAAGCCACGAAGTACCAACGGCCAGATTTGGTGTGTGGTAGTAACAGGTAAATCCATCCCATTATCCAGTGCACATGTCAGACCCACATGTGCAGGTGGTCAGCTGAGAAGTTAATGATCATGCTCTATATTTGTAATATGAACAGAGAACCCGAGATGTGTTGCTGTGGTTGTTTTAGTATGTAATTATGGTGTTTGGTGTCCTTTCCTGTTGTCCTGAATTGTTTGCAAATCCTATTTTAAATTAAGCCAAACAGTTGAAGAGCTAAATACATCTCCTTGGCTCTTCAACTCATGTTCATTGTGGACTTAAATATTTGGCCACAGAGAGCAGTTTAATTAGTGCCAGTCAGCATTACCATGCTAATATCCATTCAGTTTTTCTTTGGTGCTCCATAAAGCTTCATCTCTTTATTCTTAAGTTTTTGCCCTCTGGCAAGCTCCACAGCCACTTGTGTTGTAATAAGACCTGATCAGCAGCAGCAAACTATTCTGGATCAGCCGTCTGTCCCGACCAGATGCCAAGAAAAGACAGTACCACCCACCTAGAACTGATCTTTCTCCTATTTGCTCACCATTACCAAAAAGTGCGTTTAATTGCCTCGAAAATGGACGTCTCCACCCCTGCAATAAGAGGATCACAGCCATTAGGAAGATTAATGGGCCTGGTAATGATGTTAATCAGATTCACCATGATTGAAATTCCATTACATACAGTATGTGCAAGCACATGCACATGGCTGGCCTACTGCGCACAGAGACACCCACACACACACAAATGAGATTAACCCAAAACACCATTAGGGAAATATCCTTTCACACAAACAAAAATCTCATCACACGTATACCGTAGACAGAAATAATATATCTCTATTAATGGTCATCATTCATCTGAGGTCAGCCAGCTCCAGGACTGTCAAGCTTGAGTCGAGGTCATGTGTGAAACCTGCACTAAGAAGAATAAGAGTACCCTGAGTTATACTACAAAGCCCTCCACTGTTTTACACCAAGGGCAGGGCTGGACTGGGACAAAAAATTGGCCTGGGCATTTTGACTAGAGACCGGCCCACCGGGTATTATATTATAGCCTCGCCTCTGTCACGCACTGACAGAGGCGAGGCTGCCGGACACTGACCACCACCAGTAGGCAACGGGTGAAGTGTCTTGCCCAAGGACACAATGACCGAGACTGTCCAAGCCGGGGCTCAAACCGGCAACCTTCCGATTACAAGGAAGGGGTTTTTTTACAGGACAGTTGGCAACTCTACTAACTAACCTTATGAATAAAATAAAGTTCACTATCATTAACATCATAGCACCCACCCAGCTGTATAGAAACTCCGTCATGCTAGCTAGTACGCAGTGCGAGTAATTGTGACTGACTATAACAATTTAGCACAACGAAAATAAACTCCACCTAAACTCGGTTTATATCTGACCCAGATAGACTGCAGGTCATAACTTCTTACCTGAAGTTCACCTGACACTCGGACCGGCGGCCGCACAAAATACCCTCTGTGCTATCCACTTGTATTGTCGGACCAAGGCACTTTTGGCTCCCCGTTTGCAACATCTGGACCAAACCTAGAACGTTTTTTGGGATGTGTGTTTGTTTTGTTTTTGAAAGAGTGTTGCGACACCAAAAGCATATGGCTTCCCTTCATCACCTCAGCAGACACTTTCACACTATCCAATGAACAGTCTGCCTCTATATAAGATCCAGCTTATTTGGTACAAACTTTCTCCACCAGGTAATGTCCTCAGAATGAGGCCAGTGCAGATAAAGTCATATGACGAGTAGTTGGCAATAGTCTCCTCTTTAGGTGCTGGATTTTCAGCACTGGTGATTAGGTGTTTTGTTGCTCCACACAACAAAGTGATCAGTTTCCCACCTGAATCAGGGTTTGTGATGTGTCACAGCCTCATGACAAATGTTTTTAAAGGATTTTTTGTGAGAAATGAGTGCGTATCATGTACTCATACAGTAAACCATAGAACAACAATTCATTCCTAACAATTTTTTTGTAGTATGTTGTAATAATTATCTATAGATGTCAAGCAATACATTGAATTGCCCCATATATGTCTTTATTGTTTATTTGTAGGTGTGGATACTGTGTGTAGTGCTCTACTGTTTTCTGCATTAATTTTTTGTTTGCAATTTCTTACTCAGGTCTAAGCCATGACAACACCTGGATTGGGCTGAATGATCGGACAGTAGAAGATGATTTTCAGTGGACTGACAAGATGGACCTGGTGAGGATCCAGCTGTTTTTGTTTTGTTTTGTAGTCAGCTGATTCCAGCGTACTTAAAGCTCCTGGAGTTGCATAGCAAATTTTGATGTGGTCATTGTAGCAGCAGTCGTGATTCCCAACAAAATGTTTTCTCCACTGCCTGTAGTAAAAAAAAAGTAGCACTTTTTGCTCAAGTTTGTTTCTTTAACCTTGCCTGCTTGTGTATGTGTGCAGCAATATGAGAACTGGCGTGAAAACCAGCCAGACAACTTCTTTGCTGGAGGAGAAGACTGTGTGGTGATGATTGCTCATGAGAATGGCAAATGGAATGACGTGCCCTGCAACTACAATCTGCCCTACGTCTGCAAGAAGGGAACAGGTGAGAACAACACAGGGGGAAGAAGAGGAGAGGAGAGTTTTCTGCAACTGAAACAGTTGATAAAGATGACTGAGAAAAGAGGTGAGGAGGCAGAGAGCAGCAAGATGTAAATTGGAAAGAGGAAGAGGTTGCAAAGAGTGAGAAATGTCAGATCTGAAGTGCGAGGCAGCAAGGGATCGGACTGAAGAAGGCAGAGACAGAATGAGGATGTACAGCTCACCGCGCTTTGCTGTCAGCTCTTTAGTTTCAAATCCTGTACAGCCTTTAAAATAGAATCACAAAATAGAAAGGTGATGAAAAGTTCTTGAGACTGTGTTTTTTTATGTAAAGCAGCTCGAAAATGCTGCACACCGTCTCTATCAAAGCACAGAGACTGACAGCGCACGTACCTTCAGGTGATTCTGAATATCCTGTGTCATGCTTTACATTACACACAACTGTGTGCGGTGCAAGAGATTAAGACCAAGCCTCTTCAGTCACTCTGCATACCTTAGAGTCACACTGCTTGCGTCTTACAAGCCCTCTCTTTCTGATGTCCTGTCATCCTCCAGCATCAACTTTAACAAGTTTTCCACACACGGCTCATGTCCTGACTCGATTTTTTCTTTACCCATGTGCTGTTTTAGTTATCATTGTATACGCTGCTACCTCTTCTTTATGTCTCCTGTTGCAGCTGTCCCATCTAAGTGTAGGCTTCTACGTGTTCCTCTGAGAGCATATTAGAGCTTATTTTTTCATACAGGTCAAACTTATGATCAAGAGCGGGTGGCTTGACATATAAATAGTGGGGGTGCAACCATACACAAAATTCACAGTTCAGTTCGATACTTTGGTGTCACGGTTCGATATTTTTTCGATACAAAAAAATGTTCATGCTTTTTTAATTTGTCATTTATTAAAATTACAAATATATATTTTAACTCAAAAGTACAGTTTTTAAATGTAATGTTGCTGAAACAACAAAATAATAAAAATAATAAATCTATCTGATCGAGAAATCACTCATCTTTGGAAAAGAGAGTTTATTACAGAGAAATGGCTCTTTCCAACATAAAAGCTATACTATAGGCTTCTTCTGGGCTATATTCTCAGCAGCATATTAAACATATCAGGTCCCCATAAGGAGAATCATGTGCTAACGGCTGTCTAAATGACTCGGGTAAAGTTTGTAGCATGCGTGCTTGTTGTTTTTGTCTGCTTCCACTTGTCTTTGCACTAGGATGATGTCGGCGTCAATGTGCAGTCATATTCGTTTTGTTCCCACTAGTGCTGTCAGCGTTAATCTCGTTAAAATGACATTAACATCATAACGCTGCAAATCTCTATTAACGAGTTACCACGGATCACCCCGTGCGTGGGGCTGGGCGGCGTCAACACGTTAACGAGCTAACTGCACTAACGCACTAGTTCCCACCGATTGAGCATTGCGTGGCACATCCGACATACTGTTTTACTTTTGTGACGCGCTTACCATCAGGGTCATGCTTCACATGAAAACCAAGATAGTTCCAAAGGCCAGCTCTGAATGAGGGTGGGGGAGGTTCAATTTGCCATGTTGCAACGAGCTTAGCTTCTGTCTTGCTAGCTTGCACTGCGCTCAATGGATCTGCACTCGACAGTGCAGCCTAGGTGGAGTAGTCGAACGCAGATCCACTGAGCGCTCAACACAGACAGCTTCGTCAGAAGAAAAGTTGATAAAATAAAAAATAAAATTTGTATTGTTCGATACATATGCGTACCGAACTGAAAGCACTGTATCGAACGGTTCAATATCGATACGAGTATCGTTGCACCCCTAATAAATAGGTAAGCCAGGCTGGTTTAGAGCAATACTGGGGCACAAGAAGACACTGGAGGCTGAATTTGTATCGAACGGTTCAATATCGATACGAGTATCGTTGCACCCCTAATAAATAGGTAAGCCAGGCTGGTTTAGAGCAATACTGGGGCACAAGAAGACACTGGAGGCTGAATTTGAAAAAAAAATTATAAATAATAATTATAACTCTAGTACTTCTTATATGTTTGCAAATCATCGATATGTTGGCTTGCTCTTTATTTCAGGTGTTAATTGCCTCTCAATCTGAGGCAATGCTTACGCTTTGCTTTAAGAAAGCATAAAGATGTCTTGTTGTTGCTTTTTTATCACACTTGATTTACTTCTAAGTTGCATTGTTACAACATCTAAAGCATTCTGATCTTCTCTGTTAGAAACACGTTTTTTATCATGTCCCTGCGTTTCTTTTGGAGTTTTACACCTGGATTCTCTGGCCAATTTTTTTTCTTTCCCTGCTTGCCTCTGTTAGATCCTGTCACCTGCTCTTCCTACAGGCTGACTTTAAACTGATAAACCTAACATGAAAACCTCATTGATGGTCATCATATCAAATTAACCTAACCATTTGTGCTTATTTGTACCAGGTATAGAGAATTTAATATTTGTAGCCTTATGAAGAGTGTCATCATTTATCTTACAAATACTAAATGCAAACCCAGTGTGTGAAAAGTCTTCCTGATTCAACAGCTAGTAGAACCAATTCAATAGCTGGTAAGGACCAGATTGTTCTATTATTTCCTCACAGAATTGAAACGTGTACTTTCTTTTTCTCTTGATTATATGTGTTTTTTGATGGATAGACAGTTCTTTGGTTAATCTTTCCCCGGTACATGATGTGCTGGTATCTGATTGAAATGTTAAGGAATAAATGAAAAAGTGCAAAAGTGATAATTACAAAGTTGTGGCACTTCAAAAGAAAACATCTTTGTCACATTTAATTGCTTTTGGTTGAAACTTCATGTCTTTGACTGATCCTCATACTCAACAGTCTTTTTCTGTATTGTCCTTTACTCTGAGGCCTATGCAAAGGCTCTCTTACCTCTCTTACCTTAGATTTAGTTTATTTTTGTTCTTGGTTTAACTGCTGGCTTTGCTGTAGTAGAAAACAACATTTATTTCCGTAAGAGCACTATTACTTCAAAGGTTTTATGTCTCAACCACTGTTTGCCAACCGCCCTTTTTTATGCTCTGTGACTTTAATTTTGTGCAAATCATTCGTCTCACTGTCCCCCCTGTCATCTTTCCTCCCATCATTGAGTTGAGTATTATAACTTTGAGTATTCATATATGACCGTGGGAGTCTGCGGTCTTCTCAGGAGTTGGATTGAGTTGTTCTTTTCAAGTCTTTATGCGTGTTTTTGGAAAATAGCATCAGCAGATGTTGGATCAGCCAGTTGATCGTGGAGACACGTACAGAAAACAGGCTGCTGCTATATTGGTGTATCAAAGGAGAGCTGTTTCCCTTGTGAGCAAGGTGTTGCAGCACCTCTGCTGCTCACTGTCACAAGTCCCAGGCATACAGCCCACCTCTGACCTTAATCAGTCACTTACAATCACCAGCATCTTTTCATCTTTTCCCTGCTTCCCTGTCATCCTCTTTTTCACTCACTCAAGTAACCCCCATGTACTGTCTGATCGTATCAGTGGAGTTCTCAGCTCCATGCTGAGACTCATTTCTAATTACCCCAGCTCATGTGATCTGATTGTCTTCTCATCACACGAGCCAATCGGGCATCTTGATCAGCTGCTTGGGGGGTCAGTTAGGGTGGCGTGTTGTACAGATGGTGATGATTTCTTTTATTTAAGCAAAAAGACCTGATGCAGTCATCTCATAAGACAGTACAGTATTAGTACTTTGACTCTACTCATTTTACTGTACTCTATTTTTGAATTTGGGTTGGAATAGTATTTCTCATGTACTAATATTTTGTACATTTTTATAGAGGAACGTTCAGTTACCTTTTTGTCCTTCAAGGACTACTTTTTACTTTCTTACTTTGGGGCCATTTCAGAGCCTGTACTTTCCCACTTTTACTTGAGTAAAGAAGTTGCTTGAGTATTTTTAACACATTTACCTTACTACTTAGAAAGAAAGTCTGTACTTTTGCCACCTCTGTAGAAGGATATATATATCTATATCTATATAGCTCTGGCCTTTTTTACTAAAAGTGATGCTCTTTGTAGGATTGATTCAACTTGTTTCAAAATTCAGATGTAATATTTGATTGCTGGATCAACGTTATCCAAGTAAGGGATAAAGAAAAAATGGAAAAAAAGCAAAACTGATTGAGTTCAACATTTACATTTGGATTACGGTGACAAGAATGTCACACAGTCATCTGCCTCTAAGCTCTTCTAGCAAGGATGAGAAGAAATTTACCTACAACAAGACATGTAAGAATTATAAAATTATTCAGTTTTTTTATGGCTTATTACAGAGGGGGGAAATCTAATTTTGCATGACATACAGACACTGTGAGCGCGTTGGGAAATAATAGGTTGATGTCAGTGCCTTCAGCAGTTCATGTGTCCACTGGGGTGTAATATAGCCACTGTGTAATACACACAAACCTGCTATTTCTGAATTCTATTTTGTATTTGCAAGAGAAGCTTTACCAGCTTCCACCTTAGTGTGAGACCTACAAGCCTTTCAAATAATTCAAAGGAACCGATATTTATGAATTTTGCTGGAAAATAGTGCACATATTTCCAGTGTAATAATATTTGTTTCGTTTGTTTGGTCTGATGATGAGTCTAGCCATTCAGAGAGAAAATAGAAGGTAAGAAGAAGATCGCTCTCCTCGCCAACCCTTCCTGACCAAGCACAAACTTCCCCCAAGCTCCCCACATATTCTCCACAGGGACATGCCTGTAGGAACACAGCAGAAGGTCAAGGCCTGCAAGCGGCCCTCCAAGGAAATGCTGTCTGACCAAGCCAGACTGCTTACCAGCTTAAAGCTATAAGCTACTTTTTCAAATAGTCTCCTTTTAATTTAAATCAAAATGGAGAAAAAAAAATCCTACTTGCAGTTTTGTGTTATTTGCTTCTTAATATCTGTATGTTTGGGATGCACAGACTCGATTAAAATGCACATTATCTGCAGCTACACAACACTAAGGAACCCTCTGCTTCCTTATTACACTGTTATTCTCTTTTGTGTGCTTTTGCAGCTTTTTTCTATTCCCTGATGTTTTCTTAATTTGCAGTGCATTTGACCTCTCAGAGTTGGGCGTGCTCGAAACATCTCACTTAGGAGAAATTAACCTCCTAAGACCCGAACTCTTTCATGGCATGCGTTTTTAATTTCTCTATTCTATTCTATTTGGGCTGATTGGGACCTGATGAATTTAACGACATTCGTTTTAAATTTCGATAGAACAGTGGAAATATAATGTCCTCGTAAGTGGATATCAGGCCCTTGTAGAGCAACATTTAGTATTTTGGTCTAGACCAGCGGTCCCCAACCTTTTTTGCACCACGGACCGGTTTATGCCCGACAATATTTTCACGGACCGGCCTTTAAGGTGTCGCGGATAAATACAGCAAAATAAAACTAGTACCGGTACCGAAAAAAAGAAGATTTATTCATAACACACGTGAAAAGACCCAGGAAAACCGAGTTAACGATAAAAACGATAACAAAATAACGCTAAAACCGATAAAAAACCCTGAAAACCATACATTTCACACCTGAGCCTCAACTCTCGCGGCCCGGTACCAAATGACTCGGTCCGTGGCCCGGGGGTTGGGGACCACTGGTCTAGACAACCCAAAATGTGATATCCACATATGTGGACGCCAGGAGGTTAAGGATGCATCCTAGTAAGATGCATCCGAGGTCACTCCCAAAGCTTGTAGCCATAGGTGAGAGGAGGAATCGGCACATAGATCGACCGGTAAAAAATCATTTACGCTCAGCTTTGTCTTTGCCACAGCAGACAGATACTGCATCCACATTATTGCACACATTGCATCAGTCAATCTCCAACCTACTTCCCTTACTCATGAAGATCCCAAGATATTTGAATTTTCCATTAGAGGCAACAACTCTTTCCCAACCCAAAACAGTCACCCTTTTCCAACAGAGGCTGACTGCAAAAAGCAAGGAGAAGATGCTGCAACCACCAAACCTGACATTCTTCCTTGGCTGTGTGTGCCTAGAAATTCTAAACATAATCATTGGCAAAGCGCAGTCCTAGTAAAGTCCAGCCATCACTTATGGCTGGACTTTGGTTCTACAGGAATTGAATAGCCTGTACCACTGGGCCTAACACTCCCAAAAGCCCCCCCCCGTCACACACACACACATACACAGGACACCCTGAAGGACGCAGTCAAATGCCTTCTCCGAGGCCACAGGTTATAAATCTAAGTGGACTTTGGATGAGATTTGTTACCTGTGGTGTATTTCTGTTTAGTGAACAACAAAACAAAACCATTATCTCAGTTGATCTGAGCAGCTGTCAGTGTTCACAAAAACAGACTTTCTTAATAAACAAAACTGAGTTTGAGCATAACTCTGTGTGAGACGTACTCCCATAGTGTTGTGCAGAGAATACACACACACATTTGCACATCTCTCTGATTTGTTTTCACATGATTGCCAGTAGGTGTGCGGATGTTTTGAGGCCATAAAGGAACCAACTAGAGGAACCCAGCAGCTGTTTGCAGCTTTCCGCATGACTCACAGTGACTGCCCCCCTGCAACACAAGAAAAACGGCAAAGAAAATAACTATAGATATTTTCACAACACGCATGCAGATATACTGCGTAACTTCGTCTTAACTTCCAGTGTTGACTTAGAACAGGGATCTCGAACCTGTGGCTCTGGACCACATCCGGCTCTTTTATTGATAAATATGAGTATGAATAATGGTGATTTTACACATAGTTTTATTCATGCTGATAAGGGGAAAATAGAGAATGTAATGCTTATTGAAAAGATTTGTTTGCTTTGATTGGAAATGCTGTTAAAAACATGATCAACACAGGTCAGAGATCTGTTTATTTGATATATTATAGTTTATTTCTATTTGAACTGTTTTAAAACTATTAGGCTTCTTTATGTTCTATTTATAATCAAAGTAGCCTCCGCTAAATTTGATATACTTGCACGAACAGCACTCAAGGGATGCAAAGCGGTCTCTACATAAAAGATTTTTTCCCCTTCATCTCACAGCTGTTCTGTTTTATCTGTAATAAGAATCATTTAAAAAGTAAATAATTTTCATTCTGTTTTATCTGTCATTTCAAAAATACAGCAAAAACATGACATTATTTTAATGGAAATGCAAAGTTAAAGAGCCAAAATCACTGCAGCTTTTAATTATTTACACCCACGAGTAATGTTGATAGGCTAATTAATAATTAATAGGCTTCCGCAGTGATATTATTTGGGAGGAAACCTGCGTTTGATAGTAAAGTTTACTCATCCTAACCTTGAATTAATGTTACGTAGTTGTATGAGCCGTCAGACCAACCAGTCAGGTGGCAGTTGTTACATTTATCCATATTTAGTGAAGACACTGAGCAAAGTGTATTTTAGATGTTGCAATGACAAACAATGCTTCAAATATGGACTTTACTGTGAAGAAGTTTCTAAAATGATTCATTGTCATGCAAGCAAAGATGAGTCTTTTACCAATCACACGTCCTAAAACACTGAACAGGTACTTTTGGTGTTTTTTATAGGTTTTTTGATGGGCTTTTCTAAGACCCAGCATCCTTTCACTCACAGCCCTCTACTCTTTACTATAAAAACCACCTTTTCCAGCTCCATTTCCCTTTTCTGAGTTTTTTGACGTTTTATTTTATACCTACTTCAGTGCAATCTCACTTAGCTTGTCTGCACTGTGAGAAAACTTTCAACAGCGTACATAGGTGACAGCTAATGAAAAGCTACCTTTTAGCCTTTCATTTGTGTCAAGACAGTAATAGTCTCAAGTGAGGGGGAAGTGCTTATTGCCCTTTCCATCCACAGTTTATTAAACTGTAAATGTGACGTTAAACCCTTCATCAGAGTTAATGGCATTGCTTTCCCTTATTAAGAATTTAAGAGGTATTAGGACACAGACAAGGGAATTAAGGACTGTAAACCTTTTCTGATTGCTGATTAAGTCCTCTCCTGACTGGTTTGTTGCTGAACTGTGCAAATGGCATCCAAGGATGAAGTCAGGGGCCATCAAAGCTGACTTTAAGTTTCCTGTCTGAAAGGACCTCAAGCTGGGTTTCAACTCCGGGACGAAGGCAGGTTGACATAGTGGGGACTGATAGTACCAGTAATATCAGTTGGGGGTTCGAAATAGTGCTGTACTGTAGTTATATTTAACTTTATTTTTCATTAGTTGTCATAGAAATTATTAAGTTCCCCCAGTGGTAAATGGAAAAGTTTAAAACTACAGCCTGTCTATATTTTATTTAGTTAATTTAATAATTTACATAATGGATCAGATGGAGTTAATGACTAAAACCTAACCATAGTTTTTCCATTATTTTGTTTTGCATTGTATTGAAAGATAGAACTGAAGTCAGCCTCGACCACTGCAGACTGACACCCCGACGGGAGAGCTAAAAAAAATTGGTGAAGTTGTTTCCATCCTGTCAGTCTCTGCCCAGAGTGTCAGTTCTCTGTCTGTCTCAGCTTGAGTAAACAATTTTCTGATTCTGCCTCCTCTCTTTTATGTGTCTAAAATGCTGTGTTACTTTGAATCCCACCTACTCACTCGCTGACAGACTTGGACAGACACCCTGTCCTGCAGATGCTAAATCCACAGATTGAAGCGGTTTTCAAAAAATGTTTTATCCAAGTCATAGTCATAGTCATAGTGTGTGGGATGTGTTCTTAAAATCTAAAACACCATTTGGAACCATTTGTTTAAGTGAAGCACACTAATGGGGTGAATCCAGGTTCAATCCAAGTCATTACTGTTTAAAGACGACTTATTATGGTCAATTCCAGCTCCATGTTCTTCGTCTCTACTGCTTCACTGTTCCGAATAAACAAATAAAATAAAATGTTTTCATTTCTTTTCCCTCCATTTGACGCAACTTTCTTTTGATTGAACTTCCTCTTAAAAATAAGGATTGAATCGCAGGTAGGGGGTTTTTGTGATCCCACTCAGAGCTGTGTGCCTAAGAGGAACGTATTAAGGATATCTCTTCTCACTGGTGTCATACAGAGCCAAGGGAATAAAAATAGCCTGAAACCGAACATTCAGAGGACTCTGAAGCCTGAGATTGTTGCTCATAGGGATCACTTGAGCTGATCACGTCAGAGAATAACAAGGAAAACAATGATAAGAACCTTTTAAGAATCTTATTTGATTAATAAATACTAATGACACAGCAAGAATTGTAAGTAATTACGATAAAAATAACTAACCTCATTAATATTCTGTATTTCTCTGTCTCTATAGTGCTTTGCGGGGCCCCTCCAACTGTGGATAATGCCTTCCTGATTGGTCGGAAGCGTACCCACTATGACATCCACTCAGTAGTGCGTTACCAGTGCGCCGATGGCTTCCTGCAGCGGCACGTGCCCACTGCTAAGTGTCGTGCTAACGGCAAATGGGACCGACCTAAAATCATCTGCATAAAATGTGAGTGTTAACAAAGAGAATATGGCTGCTTGGTAAACAGCAAGACTTACAGAATTTTTTAGGTCATTTTCACATTTCTGTTTTGTTTTTTTTAATCATTATTAATATTTTTAGCATGCACACCAAAAAAGACTGAACCCCAAACATCAACAGCCCCCAGGAGCTGCTGTCACTTTGTGTATTCTCGGGCTTTCCATCCCCGCTCTCATTATTGATAATTGCAGTTTTTAGTCCCTTGGGCTTGCTTAGAAGTCGCAGGGTGTCCTTTGAAGTGTTTCGTGCTCGAGGTAGTTTTTTTTCCACTTTTCCTTTGTAGACTTTTTCAAAACGAATTCTAACAGGTTGAAGCTTCATGTAAATCAACACACGTGCAAGAAAGAAAGAAAGGTCCAGTGATTTACTGAAAGATCTGCAAACAAATACAGGAAATGCAGTATATGATGCAAAAATAGCGGTTATGCAGTTTTAATGTGTTTGAGTCAATATTTGGTGTAACCACCTTTATTCCTCAACACAGCCTGAACTCTATTAGCCAGCTTTCTTGTAATTTCTTTAAATAGTAATAACTCTCCAGGATTCTTGAAGGACATTTAAAGCTCCTTTTTGGATGTTGTATGCTTCAGTAAACAGTAGATGAATCAGTTAAACGGCACGGTGCATTTTTCAGGTCCTGTATCAGGTCTTTGCTGGATTCTTCCTATTTCTTAAGGACCTGGCCTTCATATACTATTGTTTCACAATTTTTAGACGTGAGAGTTTTTCTTTGTACTCCACTTGTTTAATTTCCTCAACTTTTTAAGAACATACTGACAGGTTTCCAGCTAAAGCTCTTTGAAAGTCACTTTTTTAGTCCAACAAAACTTGAATTTTTATTTTTGGAATTTTATGTAGATTAAACTAAAGAAGTAGGGACAGGTTACATGCCGCTTGTAACAAAGTGTGTCTGAAATTGTCATTTAAAATTGGATCTTTGTTAAGTTGCGTGTTGTGTGTAGACACATCACCGATTCATCCCTCGAGTTAAGTGTCTTTTTCTGCTTGAATGATTAATAGGTCAGTGTTAAGTGGTTTGATTAACAAAAGCGCAGTCCTCTAAAAATGGTCAAGTACAAGACAACACTGAAAATTAAAGAAAATACAGTCAATATCTAAAGAAAATCTTTGGTAGACGTTCATTAAGCGCTGAAAATTACAGCTACAACTTTAAAACGGCTCAAGTGGCTCAAAACTTTTCCACAGTACTGTTGTTTTGCACATGTAAAACATCTGCACAAAATAATCCTGCACAGATGGTGATAGTGATGACATTGTGGTGATATTGCACTTGCTGCCGGGTATTTCTAAAACAGCACAGAAAATCAGTTTCTTTCACTGAATACCTTATCTTATAACATAAACTTTACTTTTATCAGTTTTTAAACTGCTCACACTAACCGCGACAGAATATACCAACTTGATGTCATAACTTTTCACCATAATTTTCTCTTCCTCATAGGTCGGTTGATCTATATGAAATATTCAACAAACTGAGCCTTGTATTTCACTTCACTTTGCTCACAGTGTGACAGTAATGATGAAATACTGAAATAATGTAACTTCTGTTCAAAGCGATAAAGATTCCTTTGCTTATGACTCTTTATCTTTGGACAGAGTTGTTTTTATGGCCCAGAGTTATGATGTTGTTATCATTCATTGCAGACGACATTTCTTTGTTGCCAAACCCAGAAAGGGACGGAGCAATCTAATTTGGCAGTACACACCAGGAACAAGCTTATACCGAGGCAGTGAGTGGGTGGCTAGCTCATTGTGCCCTTGCTAAAGGCACCCAGTCTACTCAATGAGAGATAAAACAGATTCCCTCAGTGTGGTGGAAACAGTTAAACCATCTGCACATTTTGACCTTCCTGCGTTTTGATCCGTTCTCTCGCATCTTACCTGGTTTCAAAAACTTCTGATGCTTGCCAGTGATTCATCTCCCGCTTGCATCACTTTTCTACCCTTCACTTTCATCTCATTACATACTGAATTACTCCTTTAATACTTCTCTCTTCCACTTTGGTTGTTCCTCCAGCCCGGCGAGCTCACCGTTACCGGCGCCACCACCACAAGACCAGGAGAGAGCGCAGAAAGCACAAGAGGCACAGCCACAGAGAGGGAGGCCACCACGGCAGAGAGGGAGGCCAGGGTCACAACCACGCCCGCTTCTGAACCAAAAAAAAACATCATCCCCCCCCCCTTTTTCTCCTCTGCTGCCAGCTGCAGTTTGCCTGTCTCCCTGTCGTCCCCATTTCCCCAAACAGTTCTTCACAATAACAGCCCAAAACTCTCTGACCAAGCCGCCTCCCTCCGGCCTTGTCCCGCACTGCATTGTCCTGCCCTTAGCTCTCCAAGTCAGCCTGTATCATAGTCAACTGCATCAACAGGACAATAATAAATCCCTTTGTACTCTTTTTACTTTCCTTTCTCGGTCCGACGTTCTGGTCATACCCTTGCTGTCTCTTACCTACCTTCTTTCTTGACCCACTTACTCTTCCCTCGAGCTCAACGATGACCTGAAACATGGGGCTACACTGACCTGTTTTTAAAAAAAAAAATCTTTGAGAGCCACACTGAACATTCTTCAGAGAGAAGTTCCTAAATAGGGATTACATCATTGAATTTGCTGTATCAAAATCAGACGAGTCAAGGAAGACGTGTTGTTGACTTGAGCCTTTTGTCTGTTGAACACATAGTTATTTTTTACAAATACTCAGTGTTTACTTCTTGACTCTGCTGCTTTTGGTTCGCTCTTTGTAAGGCATTGTACTTGACTTAAAGCGACGCTGAGTTGTTCCGAAACAGATTTAATTGATTTTCTTTCATTCAGAAGCAGTTGTAATTGAATTATTTTAATTGTTAGCGTTGTATCTTCTTGTCAGTGTAAGACCATTACTTTAGATCAGATGCTTGACCCCAGAGGAAAATGGAAATCGCATCCCTTCCCATTGCAGTTTCATCACATCACACATCAGTCACTTTTCAGAAGTGTTGAACAATATCAAACACCTCCTGCTGCGTCATACATCCACACCTGTCATTGTAGAGGGGGAATCTGAACGTTTGATGTCAGCTTGTCTCAACTCAGCTCAGCAGTCCCGCATTTGCTTTGTCTTTTTTCACAGTTTGAGCTGCTGTGGGATTGTGTGCTGTGAATTAATCAAGGTGATGCAGCAGGGTGAAGAGCCTCTCACGTATCTGCTTCGCCTTTATTTTGAAGGTTTACTGCTGTTTTTGCTGCATTGTGTATTCAACAAAAGTATGGGTACATTCATATTGGGGTGTGTCAGACCAAGGACTGCATTAGCTAGGTGCATAAGTATTATTCAGTCCCTCTCTGAGTGATGTTGTCCTATTGTTCAATTTTGCAATTAATTTTATGTAGACGTGCAAATGATTAGCAAACATGGCAGTGAGATCACACTTTTATATATCACAAAAACACAGGACTTTCTTTCATCAGGACAACAGGTCAAGAAAAGTAAAACGCTGATTTGGCCATTAATACAGGGGAAAATGTTGCTATAGAAACAAACTTAAATCTTCACTCCCAGGTAGTTTAAAACATATGTTTTAAAAGCATCCACTTTTTTTATCTGTTTGTCCAGCTTATGCTACAGTCACACTAGGAAAAACAGGGACAACAAAATTATTGGGACAGTTTACAATTAACTTGCAACCTCGCTGCCTTTAAAACGGTTGTTTCGAAGACTGAAATCTGGCCCGTGACCATTTGCACTCAGTTGCCATCTTCAAAGTAACTTTGGTTTGACAAGACAGAGATAAACTGGAAATAAGCTTATCCCAGGTGTTATATGGGTAGAGCCAGGGTACTCCGAGCACATGTCCCATCAAAGGGCTAACACAGAGACACAGACAACCACACCCTCTCACATCCACACCAGTTTGGAAAATCCTCAGAGGCACAGGGAGAACTTCCAAACTGCACGTAGACACCCACGCTCACCATGAGGTTCAAATCAAGAGCCATATTGCAGTGAGACAACAGTGTAACCACTGTGCCACAACCTTTTCATGGCTCGGGATTTGTTTGTCTCAATTTTTAAACATCCAGCCTTTGTAGGGCATTATTAGCAGTGAGTAGTTAAAAGTTAGCTAGCTGCCTGCTAGATTTGTATCATTTCATTAGGTTTTTTTTTTTTTAAATTATTATTATTTTACTGAAAACAGCCAGTTGCTGCTTGTGGAAAGAGTGCTGATGAGACTGAACCAAAAAGTAAAGTTAGGGGCTACAAAGATTCAATCTCTCAGATGCTCTGAAAATATTAGTGATTTTTGTCTGTGTTTGTCACTGAAATCATAATTTGATCTGTTGTCATAACACTGACATTCAGAACAAGGTTTAAAGATTAAAGGACTGAAGATGTACATTTTTGTAGTGTAGTCTTCAGCCTTAACCAGCCCTCTGAAGCAGGAAGAATTGAGCAAGTAGTGGGAAACAAGCACGACAACAAGCTGAGATTGTTGCATCATGAATCAGAGCTTTGTGCAGAGTATGAGGATGAATATCAGAATCAATCAGAATCAGAATCAGAATCAGAATACTTTATTGATCCCTGGGGGGATCCTCTGAATATGATGCAGAGGAGACGGAGACAACAAGCTCTTGCTCGTCTCGTGTCTGTCTGTGTGGATGCCACATGTGTGCGTTATGGCTGAAGACGCCGACAATGGCTGAGGTCCCAGTGGATGACGATATAAAGGATCAGCAGAGATTAAGGCTTGCCATTTCTGGAGTCTCGCAGCTGTTCACACCTGAGCTCGCCCCTGTCGTGTCTCCTCTTTTAAAGAGGGGATTGAAATGGATAGAACAAGCACTTTGCTCCCTTTTTCTTCCCCTTTACTGCCAGGTTAAATTGCTGTTTTTTAAAGCCAGCACTTGGGGTTAGAGCTTCTGGGATTACACCCCAGCACTTTTATCCCTCATTTCTCTATCTCGTTATACTTTTATCATCACCACCTATACACTTTAGTACCTTTCATCTTTGTCGGGAAGTGGACAATAAGCACACCTAAATTCAGTTTAACTTGTTTTTTAGTGGAGAAAGCGTAGACTCAGGGTTTTCAGCAGCCTCTCGCGCATCTTATGAAAACACTAAACCAGGATCGGGTTATATAAAGTCACTTGAGGTAAGAAAATCTATCCTGCGCACATAAATCCCCCCCCGTCTTTGTTTATCTCCCCTCACCTTGGCAATGACAACGCTCCTCCACATGGAGAAGAATAGTGATCGTAGATCCCTGTATCAGTTTAATTAATCTGCTGCATGCCTAATTAACAAGTTGCATTATCTGCAGAACCCCAGAGCAGCCATGACAAGGGGAAGGTTTTGCTGACGGACAGCGAGTGGAAAGTAAAGAGTGACAGACAGGAAGCCCAAAGAACTGTCACAGCTGTCACTCGACGATGTCAGACTGACACAAACTTCTTTTTTTCTGTCTTTCCTGTAAAATAGACTGATAAAAGAAAGCGGATGAATAAAAGGGCAGACCGAAGACCTAATTCAAATCAGAGTTGACACACAGGGACGGTTTAATTACAGCTGCGTAAAGGTTGAGCTGTGTGACAGGACTAAATTTTAATGCGATAAAGTGATAAGGAAATGAATACAAGCCAGCTTCTAGTGGTTAATAAGACTAGACATTTGTTTTTAAGGAGAGTCTGACGTCTGTCAATTTTTCATTGCCTCTGCAGAGATTTTTAGGCCTTCCAAACAAGATGCAGAAAATATATTTAAATCTTCTATCCTACATGAGTTGATAGGTTGATATGTGTGGAATTTCTACTGATAATGTTCCATTTTTTATTTAAAAAAAGAGATAAGTCAGAAGTATAATAGACAGCACATAAAAGATCAGTTTGAATTTAACGCAGAGCTTCGCCCTCTGGACCGAGGGTAATGAACAATTTAGCTTTTGCACATCCGCTGGGACTGAGCTGGTCTTTTAAAGGTGGTTAACCTTTCTCACCGGCAGAGAGGAGAAAAAAAAATCTTTCAATGAATTCAAACAGCCACACTTTCCCTCTTGAAATTTCAAACAGTGTCTGTCTCTCTTTGCTTTTGACTCCTCCTTTTAATCTCCTCCACCCACACTCCTCTCCTCTTCCCTCGTCGGGCTTTCTAGTCAGAGCCCCAAGGGCAGGCAAACAGAAAGCGACAAACTCTTATAATTGTGAGTGTTAATTATGAAGATGAATGAGTTAACAGCGGTCTCTGCCAGCTGTCTCTTGGCTCAGCACCACACCTCGGGGGGGAAAGCAGCGGGCAAAACGCTGAACGTCTTCGCAGCCAGAAGGCCTCTTCTCAGGCTTAGCCACCTATCGTAATTGTTACCCACTTACTGAGTTCCGCATACATGAGATAAGAATTGGATTGATGGGAGTGCAGTGGCATCTTCTTGTGCTTGTAGCTGTGACTGTCTGATTGCCCTCTGTCTGAATGTTGACAGCGGGAGCGCAGCTCGGTTAAATGTGTTGTACATGTTTTTGATGAAGCACGTGCCTAGTTGGAAGAGTGTGACCGAGGCGGGTGCAGCGGCCTTCATAAACACCAATGTAATTTCCAGTGTACGTGGAGGAAAAAAAATCTAATAACCCAGCATGAAATTGCAGATAATAAAACAACGTTACAAGAGAAAATCTTTCTAGGATGACGACTTGAAGGCATAGTTCACCCCATTATCAAATATACATGTTTTTCCACTATCCTTCTCAGATTGCATATGGTCTGACTTATCCAGTTCTGTAGTTATCTGCAATTGAGAGATGGCTGCCTTCTCTCTCTAGAATTAAATGGAACTTGTAATGACAAACTATGCATTTGAAAAACATGGCAGCAATGTGTTTTCTTTGCAGAAGTCACCACCTGTTAATTATTTAAAAGAAACACATCCTGTATCAGTTTGTCTGCCAAACTATACCTCTAAATTAAAGGAAGCTGCATTAGTATTCAGCTGAAGGATCATTAATGTTTACATCCTGTCACAGTGTCATGGGCACAACCTCTTGTCACAGATATATGCGTGCTTCCTTTTGCAAAGTGATACTGCTGGCAAGGCTATCTTGATTATAGAAAAAATATTTCTGAGGAAAAGACATTGAAGCTTAGTTTTTCAAGGCGCTTCAAGCGCTACAAAACCAACGCCATCGTAGTTCTGTTATAGTCGAGAAAACAAAAACAGCTGTTTAAGAGTTTAACATCTGTAAAATTGGGCAACTCATAGTGTAAATGGAAAGTATCAGTCACTTTGCACATACCTCGAGGATTGATCAGTTAAATGCCTAATAGTACTGTGATGCCTGTTAGTGTTATAAATGAATTTTCTGAGGAATGATCAGAGCCATTAATCATATTGCAGCGATTTTCACTTAAAGCGCTTTGTGCAACAGGCTGCTTTCACCCATTCAAACACACATTTATAAAGTGCTTATTCCATACATAAAGCATTCACACATCTGCACTCACACACTAGCGAGACTACGACTAGGACACCCTGACCTGCAGACTGGAGCAGCCAGAGGTCAAAGTCAAGTCTACCGCCTGTTTGCAATGACAAAGAGCGTATGTTTGTGGGGATGAAGGAAACCAAGAACTTCTTTCCCCCATGTATTGTAACATCTTTCTGTTCTCTGGACCTGATGCATTTGAACAGGACACTCATCAGTCATGACAGCCTGATAAGAGCATTAGAGGCTGTTGTCCTTCCTCAATCACACGCAGACAGACTATTGATTTCGTGATTAGGCTGTCTGTCCTGGGTTCTTATTAAGTCCGTCGATGGCATCGGCGGTACAATTGCATTGACTGACTGCTGAGCGTTTTTTAAATGACAGGAAAACAGACTGGTGTAGCTTATACCACTCCTATGTGTCCATAAGACACTCCAGGTAGTATCCTGTCCCATATGCATACTACTACTCTCATAACTCCCTATCTCAATCTCATAACTATCTCATGAGGATTTTTTTTTAAACTTTCGCCTCCCTCCTGAGGACTGCTGCATCACTTATCTAACATAGTGGAAACCACACTGCTGGTATTTGTATAACATCGCAGCTCTGTCTGATGCTGAGTTGAGACAATTTATCACTGTAAAGAAAATGGTTGGGATGGATGGATGAATGAAGATATGTTACAGTGGGATTATGACAAACGCAAAGCAGGAAGCAGTGAAAATGCTCCCTTTTCTCCTCTGTGATATAAATACTCAAAGTTTTTTGTTAGAACAATCCATTTAAACTCTGGGTGTGTTTGTTGTTTAGCCTCTCTGGGCCATATTCACACAGCCTCTGTGGATGAAAAACCCATCGCCTGCTTTCTGTTCCTCTCGTCAGCTCACACGCTGCTGGTTTATACCGCTGCAACAGAAAAACAAGAGGCGCTCGGTCAACAGGAGAGATGGAAGCAAAGTAATAGTTTGCCAAACTGACAAACATCACTTCTTCGGCTCTGTTCCCTGCCCAACACTTCAGTCTGTGTGTGTTCGTGTCGACTGTGAGCACAGACACAATATCGCTGACGCTGGGCTCATCTACAGCTGTGTGAATGTGGTCCACAAGTATTTATCCATATTTATTGATGTATGTTCTTATGAATTCCAGTCCTGTCCCTGTATTATATTCTTTACAAGACAAATGATCATTAAAGGAAACCCTTGTTTGGATCCGTTAACTTCTTGCTCAGCGTGGTTATTTGTGTTTGAATTACTAAAAAACAGTATGCACCTTATTTTGCATTGAATTAAGCTTTTCTTTATTATTATTATTATTATTAGCATTAGCATTATTAGCATTATTAGCATGTTGTCATTTATGTGCCGTACACTGTTCATCACTGCAAATTACCAGAATCAGAATCTTTCTAAGCCACCTTGGTGTGTTGAAAGAGGATTTAATACAAATTATATTAATCACTTTGTTCGTATAATCATTACTAATCAAAATAAAAAGTAAAACATTAGGTGATAAATAAGATTTTTTTTAAAAACTGTAAATTCATTTTTAAAAACTAACAAATATTAAAGGAAAAAGCCTTTGAAGGCAGATGTGGCAGATGAGCCATCCAGCCCTAAAACATATATATGTTTATTAAAAAATAGTTTGTCGTTTGGTGAATGAAGCAGCCATAAACTGGCTGGGTTAGGTAAGCATAAATATTGGAAAAAGGGGAGAGAGCTAAATGGCTATAGAGGAAGAGACTATATATAAATGTAAAAAGCCAGCATCTTATTTTGGAGGGCTTCTTTTTATCTATGATGACACATATACCTACCAGTTGAAAAAGCTTGTAGTTAGGGCTAGATCAGGTGACCCTGAATCATCCCTTGGCGATGATCCTGCGAGCAACAGGGTCAGACTGCTGCAGAACTTGAGGTGATATACGGCGATACAACAAGCATGTCTTGTCCACTCACCTCTTTTGACTGTCCAGGTGTTCGCATACCACTGCAGCGTGTCAAATGTTGTCTTTTCTCTCCAGTTGTTTGTGCTTTTCTCCTGTC